CACTTGGAGGTATAAAGTGCACCTGATACAAGCCGTGGTATTTTCAATCTCCTCAGATGCATGTGAATGTTGAACGACGGAGGACCAGAGAAGTTCATTTGAATTATGATGTTGATGAAGAATATTGAAAGTACCATGGACTGCCAGAAGAAGAAACAAATCTGTCTTGGAAGAAATAAAGCCAGAAGCCCCTTAGAAGCGTGGATGGTGAGACTTCGTCTTTTGTATGTTGGACAGATTATCAGGAGGGACTAGTCCCTGGAGGACATCAAGAGTGGAAAAGTGGAGGGGCAGCCAGAAAGAGGAAGACTCCCAACAAGATGGACTGACAACAGCAGCAACAATGGGCTCAAACACAACAATTGTGAGGCTAGCGCAAGACTAGGCAGTGCTTTGTTCTGTTGTGCATAGAGTTGCTATGAGTCTGAACTGAGTTCACAGCACTAAAAACAAATCTTCAAGGGACCAGATTGCCACGTCTTTCTCCCACAGACCCATTGAGTGGGTTTGAACTGCCAACCTTTTTCTTAGCAGATGGGTGCTGACCTGTTGTACCACCAGGGCTCTCAAAAGATTCTTAATATTCAGTGAAACCTGAGAGAACTGAAAGTCAGTTGAAATGTCTTATTTTTGGAATTCTAATAAGTTTTCTGCCTTTGATAGAGCACGGTGTTGCCACTTTTCTATATCTTCTTTTAGTGCAAATGATTTGAATTTTCCTTCTCTGACAGGTTTCAGCCTTAAGAGGCATCTTCTCTTCTCATGGTAGTCATTTTTAACGCTCCCATTTTTAGCTTTGTCATACAATTCAGTTACATTCCTTGATGAAGCATCAGAACTCTCACTTTAGATGTACCACAAATTCGTTAAAAATATTTTTATAAATGCATTTGTTGTTTCCTGAAGTTTTATGTTCTTCATTAGAAAATAATGGCATGGAAGAAGGAAAACACTTCCTTAAATGGTTCAAGAAAATTATCAAACTCAGATGGTAAAACATGAGAGGAAAATAATTTTGGCAAAAAGAAATGACTAGAAAAAACAGAAACCAAGTAAGCCTCAGGCTGTTGCTAAGTTAAAGACTGAGGTCTAAATATCACTGTCCCTCGGAAGACAGTACAGGAAACCCTGAGAACTACATGATAAAAAAAAAAAAAAAAAAAACCCACAGCAAGTGAGTCCATTCCTACTTAGAGTGACCCTGGTGTGGCACTGTAGTCACACTGGACTGCTAATCACAAGGTTGGTAGTTCAAACTAATCAGCCACTACTCAGAAACCCTATACAGGGTTGCTATAAGCAACTGGAAACTTTTAACAACAACAACGTAGGGTTTCCGAGACTGTCAATCTTCATAGGAGCAGAGAGTTTCATCTTTCTCCCACAAGCGGCTGGTGGGTTTGAACTACCAACCTTGCTGTTAGCAGCTGGGTGCTTACCCCCACAGCGTTGCATGTTGTTGTTGTTGTTGAGTGCCATCGAGTCGGGTCCGACCCATAGCGACCCTGTACAGGGTTTCCGAGGGTGTAAATCTTTACGGGAGTAGAAAGCCTCATCTTTCTCCCGCGGAGCGGCTGGTAATTTCGAACCGCTGACCTTAAGGTTCGCAGCCCGATTCGTAACCACTACGCTACCAGTTGCATAGGAAAGAGTAGTGCAGTAGAGAATGGAGTTAGTGATGGCTGACCCATACTTTTGTGGGACTCACAGATATATAGAATTACAGTTTATTGAGCCATAGAAATCAGGTAATATTCCTTATTAATCAAAAAAGGTTAGGGTTTTGGCAGCCAAGGAAACATTGGCACACAAAACTAACTTGAAAAAGCCTTTCAAGTAATAAAAAAACACTTCATCTTATATATATTCCACTCCTTAATTCTTCCATTTGTACGATAGTGAAATGGACAAAAGCGATAACCTATGTATGAGCAGGCTTGAAAAAGTTGTGGAAAAAATGGAATGAAAAGATAACAGAATATTTTCATGGACTTTTCCAAGCACCCTCTTAAGGCCGAAACCTGTCGGAGAAGGAAAACTCAAATCATTTTCACTAAAAGAAGACATGGAAATGTAGCAAGACTGTGCTCTGTAAAAGGCAGAAAACTTACTAGACCTGGAAAACTAAGGCAGTTCAATTGACTTTCAGGTGAACTGGAGAGGTGTCCCTGCACCATCTCTTCTTGGAGAAACTTAGAAGCACAACATAAGCCAAAGAGACAGAGCACTTACCTATTCCTAGGGGATACACTCTCGTATGTGACCATAAATGTCCTAGGCGATAAAGAAAACTACTTTTCTGTTTCGTGTGATGGTGAAAATGCAAAGGTATTGCATCAAGAATTTTTTCCCACTTGTACGACCAAGTTGTCAGTAAATAATTATGTATAAATATTTCCACCTGCTTTTTTTTTTTAAGATAGCTGTGGCTGCCCAACAAATTAAACCCCAAACCCCTAAACGTGGCTGAAAACAACACAGTTCATTATCTCCCAGATTTTGTGCATCAGGAATCTGGAAGCGGTTTAGCTAGGTCCTCTGCTTCGGAATGTCTCACAAGGCTGCAAAGGCAGGGGCTAGGGTCCTCTCCAGGCTCTGCTGAGACAAGGTTTTAAAAAGTTCATGGATAAACTCCCTTATCTTTTCATTCTATTTTTTGACAAACTTTTGGAAGTTCCTTTGTATATTAGAAGCTGCCTGCTGTTGTATACCATCAAGTCTATTCTGACTCTGAGCAACACAATAAGACAAAGAAAGTACAACTGTCTCATAGGCTTTTCTTGGCTGTATTCTGCAAAGCAATTTGGTGGATTCAAACTGCCAATGTTTAGGTTGGCACCCCAGGGCTTAGCCATTGTGCTACCAGGGCTCCTTGGAGGCTACCTACCACATGCAAAATGCATTCATTCTCTGTCCACACCCCCCAAAGTCTCATTTCTATTATAACATGAGTTCAAAGTCTAGAATGTCACCATTGAAATCAAGTCTGGGTGTGGATGGATCTCCCAGGTACAACTTTTTTAAGCATAGCTCCTGGAGCATAGTTCTCTGCCTTCTACACCACCTCCAACTTAACAATGATGAGCAGGGATAGGTCCATGGTTACAAACATTCCCATTCGCAGAGGAGGTAAAAGGATTCACTAGGTCCAACTCACACTCAGGTGAGCGGATGACACAAGGAACAGAAAACCAAGAGGTGTGTGTGTGTGTGGGGGGGTCACTGGAGCCATCTTAGATGATGCCTTCCTACTTAACTGTAATAACAAAAGAAGGAAAACTCTAGCCAGAGATTCGATCACGTGAAATGGCGTTGATATTTCAATATGCATGGCACTGCTGTGAGTCTCTATTACCATTCTTTGTTTTGGTTCAGAGTAAAAATTCTTACAAGAATTTTAAACATTCTTTAAATTAAAAATTCTTACAGAATATTGGAGGGAATTGCTTAAAAATTCTGTTTCCCTTTATCATGACTTATAGTAGTTTTATTTTCCAAACATTTGTAAATGCTTTACTCTAATATACATAACAGCCCCATACTTACTTCTCTAGCTGCATTCTCCATTTCTTATTCCATTTATCGATGTCTCACACTTGCCATAAAGTTGAAATTAAATCAATTCCTTGGTGAAACATCAGTGCTTCTGCTTTGAATATAGGAGTTGTATCTTTCTTGACTTTTATGACTACTGACTGAATTAGAGAAATAACTCTTCCACGTTTTCTCTTTATCCTGAGTTCTGAAGTCCTATTATGTCTCCTTCTCTGTCAGTCTGAATCAATGATTCTTAATCAGAGGCAATATTCGCCCTAAGGGGACATTTGGCGTTGTCTAGTGACATTTTTGGTTGCTCCAGCTGGGACTATGCTACTGGTGTCTAGTAGGTAGAGGTCAATGATGCTGGGAAACATCCTAAAATGCACAGGCATTTAGGATGCCTGTGTGGCCCTGGCAACAATGAATTATTTAGTTCAAAATGTCAGCAGTGCGAAGGTTGAGAAATCCTGATCTAAAAAAAAATTATCCTTCCTCCCACATTAAGTGTTAAGGCATTAAAAAGTTGTTAGCTTTAGCTACTATATGTCTATTTTTTTTCCTAATCACATTTCCTTAAAAATAACAAAATATAAAGAACTATGATATAAAGTAGCAATGCTAGCAAACCAATTCTATATAAATAAAGGACGCTTGAGAACACAAAAATTTTACTTAATGTGAAGTTTGAATACATTTTTTTTGATTGGGCAATATGTACTAGATGCTTTGTACATATTGGAATATAATTCTATACGTGGTAAAATAGAAGGTCAGCAACAAGGGGAAGACCCTCAAGATGGATTGACAGAGTGTTTGCACCAATGGGCTCAGCTCAGCCACAGTAATGTGTGGATGCTGCAGGACTGGGCTGTGTTTTGCTCTATTGTACACAGTGTCGCTGTGAGTCAGAACCAACGTGATGACATAGATGAAAAAAAAAAAAGATTACCAAATAGAATATAGCCATAGTAAGCATATCCAAGGCTTTTAAAATCTTTGTGGGAGCTGAAAGTCACATCATTCTACCGCTGAATGGCTGGTGGGCTCAAATCATGGACCTTGTGATTGTTTTGAAGTCCAGTGCTTATTGTAGGGAGCTACCACGCTCCCCAAGCTAAAGCATGGACAAAGAATGTTTTTAAATTTCTGAATATACTCAGAATGATGTCAAAATAACAACAATTATGATTTAAAAAACATTTAAAATAACATATGGTAGTATCTGTGGACTCCTTAAGATGACTATAATAAAAACGTTGCACATTTATTTTCACTTTATGACATTTTTATTCCAGAATTATACCCTTTTCCTTAAGTAAAGATATTGATAACTTTATGAATCATCAAACATGCAGAACAGGCCTTTGAGAGAAAAGAGATACATTCAATGTTTTTCTTAGTTGACACCTGGCTAGATTAAAAACAATTTTTAAAAACAATGAATATGTTCTTCTCTTACATCAATTTTTATCTTCAATGACATATGCAAGGTCCAAAATCAAATTGGCTGTCTCCACAGCTAACTGTAGGCCATTAAGCTTAGCAGTATAACAGTCCAGGGTCAGATTGTTGGCTGAGTTACCAGCTTCAGGTGGAAGGCAGCTTTGTAGCACAAAAGGATCATGAGTATTTCTTAAGAAAGACCAGCTGAGTTGTTCTTGGCTGCTGTGTAAGCCACAGCCACATCTAGAAAGCAGATCTGGCCAGTTAGCAACAGGGGGAGAATCTGACTGAACTGACCAACAGTGTCCATACTTCATGTCAGTGAGAATGTCACCTCCATCATGTTCCAGACAGCCAGCAAGAGATTCTAGAGCTCGGCAAAATGCTTCAGCAATGAGTTGAAGTTCCGTTTGAGTACGTCCATCATCTCTGATGAGAACACTTCCTGGCTCATTAAGAATCTAAAGAGCAATTGAAAACACATAGTGGGCAAGTAATACTATAAAATCATTTACTTTACGTAAAAATATTCAGAAAATGTTTCTGACATGGGTAAAAATGTTCCTGAAAAATAAGAGTACTTGATTAAAACCTTATTCCTGAAGTTACTTCTCACTTTCATTTACTTAGGGGTCTGAAGCATGATGCTAGTGGGCATATCAGGGTCAGCTGGCCAGGCCCTTAATCCTGTGATCGTAACAATGTACGATAGGAGTCATGTTATCAGAATAAATGAATCAGCACCAATCCAACACCACCAGCGCATTCTCAATGCCTACCCAGCGGTACCTCTTAATTGATGAACATGGTATAATGCAAGTACAATAAGTCTTGTAAAAACTAATACCACATATGAAGTACTTTCTTATACTTGGGAGTACTTATTTATACTTGACAAAATGAGATTTGTTTAAAAGGAAGACACACATATTATTGTTAATGAGACAAAAAACATTGAGGGACATGTGAAACATGAATGTGCAATGTTTTAAAGATGAATATTTTGAGTTAATGAAAAGGAACTATGACTTTAAACTGTTTTTTGTTTTACCTTTCGAAAAAAATGAAACCTCAAAACTTAATATCCAAACCCAACCCGCTGCTGTTGCATCAATTTCAACTCCCAAGTGACCCTGTAGGATAGAGTAGAGCTGCCCCACAATTTCCAAGGTTGCAAAGCTTTATGGAAACAGACAGCCACGTCTTTCTCCCTGGGGGCAACTGGTGAGTTCACATTGCCAAACTTTTGGTTAGCTGCCCAGCACTTTAACAACAGTGCCAACAAAACTCAAAAATTTTATGAAAGAAAAAATGTAGCATATAGATATTGTTGTTGTTAAGTACTGAAGAGTTGGTTCTGACTCATAGCGACCCTGTATAGGGTTTCTGAGGAGTGACTGGTGGGTTTGAACCACCGACCTTGTGGGTAAAGCTGACAGTATGGTCCGGTGGTTTATCCTACAGCATCACACCAGGACTCAATCTCTATATACATATACTGTTGTTGTTAAGCGGTGTAAAGTCAGTTCCGACTCATAACAACCCTGTACAGGATTTCTGAGGAGCAACTGGTGGTTTTAAACCACCAACCTTGTGGTTAGCAGTCCAGTGCCTATCCTACAGTGCCATAGCAGGACTCTTGTTGTTGTTGTTAAGTGCCGTCGAGTCGGTTCCGACCCATAGCAACCCTGAACAGGGTTTCCAAGGGTGTAAATCTTTACGGGAGTAGAAAGCCTCATCTTTCTCCCGCAGAGCGGCTGGTAGTTTCGAACCGCTGACCTTACATACATATATACCTGGTGTGGCGCTGTGGGTTAACGTGCTGGACTTCCAGGTTGTTTTGAACAGCAATGTTGGCGGTTCAAGCTTATCAGCCTCTCCTCAGAAACCCTACATAGGATCTCTGTGAGTCAGAACTGACTCAACGGCACTTAACAAGGACAACAACAACATACATACATGCATATAAATACATACATTGCAGCAATGGGTTCAAGTGCAGTAATGATTGTGAGGATAGCCCAGGACCGGGCAGGGTTTTGTTTAGTCGTGTATAATAAGGTCACTATGAGTTGGTACCAACACAAAGGCACCTAACAGCAACAACCACACCAACATCCAAACCACTTACAAGCAGTGACCACCTTTTTTGGCCAGGAGGTTTGAATCAAATGAGTTAATCTCTACAGCATAATCCTCTATACCTTCAACATTTTATTCGTCTTCAAAATTCTACTCCACATTGTCCCTCTTCTAAAAACCTCTCTAGTTCACACAACCCAATTTGGATGCTTCTGTCTGCTCAGCATTACTAGATTTAACTTTTTCTTATGTGTATTTGAAGAAAATGGACTTGAGCACACCAACAATTGTGAGGCCGGCACAGGACTGGGCAATGCGTGTAAGTGGAGTCGCTGTGAGTCAGAGCTGACTCGATGGCAACCGATAATGCCAATGTTCTAAAAACTTTTCAGGAGTGGAGCTGTATCTTCCAATAAACTTAAAATAATTTGAGGAAGCAGGATGGCGCATGTCTATTTAAAAAGTTTACATTCTCTCCAACCCCACCCACATCCCACTGGAGAGATCTGCAAAGTCACTGATAACACACCTGTGTAATCAAAGAATCAACTGCAAATGTTTGGAAAACACCTATACCTTTTAAAATCCATTTTTAAATAAGGCAGGTAAGTATGTATGAAGTAATTAGAACTGTAATGAACTAAACTTACCAGATAACTGTCAGGAAATGAAGTTTCCTAAATTAATCCAAAACATTCTATTTGACAGAATTAATATATACCACAAATGGATGTTAATTAAAAACTTATAACAGGATCTAATACTTGGAATGCTTTAATAAATGATATTAAGTCTTATCTTCATGATTCAGAAGGTACTAAAGTATCTGTAGCAGTTTTACACTTCCACTGTGTTCGTCAATTATTACTGTTCCATAGCAGATGAGCTCTTTAATAAGAGACCACCCATTTTAGTTTCAAGAAAGCCCTGGTGTGGTGCTGTAGGCTAAACATGGAGCTGCTAACTGCAAGGTGGTGGTAATATTAAGTGCATCGAGTCAGTTCTAACTCATAGCGACCCTTTATAGGGTTTCTGAGGAGCAGCTGGTGGGTTTGAACGCTGACATTGTGGTTCAGTCTGGTGCTTATCCTATAGCAGCACCATACCAGGAGTCCAACGAGGTAGTTCACACCCACATTGGAAATCCTATACAGTGTTGCTATGAGTTGGAACCGACTCAACAGCACTTAATAACACAACAAATTTCAACATGGAGTCCTGTGTGACACTGTAGGAAAAGCAACGGACAGCTAACCAAAAGGCCAGCAGCTCAAACTCACCAGCTGTTCTTCAGAAACCCTCTAGAGAGTTTACTATTAGTGAAAATCGACTTGACAGCACTTAACAAGTTTCAACATGAGTATATAATATATATAATTATATATACATAGACACCCTGCATAGGTTGCCAAGGAGCAACTGGTGAGTTTGAACCACAAACCTTGTGGTTAGCAGTTTAGTGTTTATCCTGCAGTGGCACACCAGGACTCTACATATATATGTACATGGTGGTGGTGGTTGTGTGCCACTGAGTCAGTTCTGACTCATAGTGACTCTGTATAGTGTTCCCAAGGCTGTAAGTCTTTACAACAGCAGAAAGCCTCACCTTTCTTCTGTGGAAGGACTGGTAAATTTCAGCGGCT